TATGGGCTTATCGTACCGCCCACCAGGAGACTCTGGGAGATACTCCGTTCTTCTGCATGCACGGGAGGGATCCCGTGCAGCCCTTCCATTTGGCTTTCGCGAACCAGGAGCCGCTTTGGAAGTCAGACGAACTCCCACAATGGCGCAGGAAACAGTGGTTTACAACCAATCGGAAGCTAGTGAAAGCCCAGTTACTCCAAGGGCAGAACCGAGATGCGACCTCTCGAGACAGTCAGCGGAAAGTTGACTTCCAACCCGCAGATTCCGTATGGGTCTACCAATACTTCCATAAGACGACACACCCTGACGACATCAGAGTCCGAAAGTTCGCCTACCACTGGCACGGGCCCTACCGAATCCACTGTCGACAAGGGGAGAACACGTACCGAATTTACTTACCTACCCACCCCGACCGAGTCGTCCCTATCAACGTAGACCGGCTCAAGGCTTTCCGAGGTTATTGGACTCGCCCGTTTAACGACGAGGTCCCGGAAGGATACCAAGAGACTGATGGCTCCTGGGAGGAGGCCTGCGACGTCCTTCTGGGCGACGATCTGCTTCCAGACTCGAGCTTCATCGACCGCCTTGAGTTCGCCGACGGGGACGTGGCCTACACGAACACCCCTACGCCCATTGTCAAGGTCCTGGACAAGAGGCGCACGGCGCCCGGGGAGCCCGAATACCTGGTAAGGCATGCGGATGGAGAAACCCATTGGACCCCGCGATCTCGGCTTACCGATTACGAGTCGTTCATCTCGGAATATGAGAACCTGGAACGCTCTCACCAAGGCCTTCCTACCCTACGTCGCAGCCCCAGACTAGCGGAACTCGACGTGGAAGCCGTGGTTCGCGAGTACTAGCTACTCCGCCGGTCGGCCCGATCCTCTCTTTGGATTCCGGGAAGACTCAAAACACTGCATTTATACATGAAACACTGCATTATACAAGAACCGGACTATTCTCGCGGTCCCGGGAAAGTCAAAGGTCAACGATCACCGTCTCCTCATCGGTGTCCGTAGCGGAATTGGACAACAAGTCCACCATTTCCGGCGCAGGGAGCGTACTCTGAACCCCGGAAGCTGAAAGGGTTGTGGACGCGCCGAACGTCGTGTCCGTTTTCGGTACCGCGGTGGTGTGGGGAAGTGGGGGCGTATGCCCCGTGGGGGGAATACCCGCTGGGCGCGGCATACCACGTGCCCACTGGGACCCTTCGGGGGGATGCGAACGGTCGCCCATCACGAACGGGAAACGCCCCTGATAGACGCCGGCGCGTCGGCACTCTTCGGCCTGAGCATACAACCACGCCAACACTCGCGACACTCTCTCCCGAGAACAGTTCGCCGAATTCAAGGGGTCAAACATCTTCAACCAAAACTCCCTCAGCGAGCGCCCCTTGGGGAAGGCTACAGTGGCCATGAAAGGGGGATCGAACGGCTCCGTGCGAGAATTGGACGGAACCTCCGGCCAAAATTCCGGACCTTGCGACGACAGGTATTCCTGCACGGCTCGAGCAACCTGGACCGAGGCTATCATCTTCAAAGAGACCCCGTCGCGAAGAAAGTCCGGCCAATACGAATGGGGGTAACAAAGGCAGCGCAACAAGTCGGTCCCGTGGCGCCGAATGATGCGGTATAGGCATCCGATAATGCCCACCAATGGCCCCATGGCCATCTCGACTTCGGCATTCACTTCGGCCGACCCCCGCATGAAACGACGGCTCCAGTGCGCGAGGGCATGGTTTTCCCAGAAATCCTCGAGTTGTTCCTGGAGCTCCGCCCACAGCGAAAGTCGACGCCACGACGAATGGATAAACGACTCCTGCGCTTTGTACTGTTCCCACGGCTTCGATGACGCCACGGCCATATAGGTCGCATCAACGTCTCGGGGTAGATTCGGGTCCGCGGATGGTAAGGGAACAGCAGCGTGAACGCGGGAGACTTTTCGTTTACCGGGACGCCCTCCTGAGGCCGAGCGTTTCGCGGGACGCGAAGGGGATGGAGGTACGGGTGCCTTGGCTCCCGCCTATCCTGGGAGGGTCGAAACCTTAGCCCCCGAGTCCGGGGGGGCCTCGACAACGTCCGCCTCCGGGACTCCCGACGACGGCGTGGAAGACTCCTTCAACGCATCCCTCATGCCCGGGAGGGCCGTATTCACCCAAGCACTGAACGTCGGGCCCCGGACTCGCCCAAGCAGGGGCTCCGTCAAACCGCTCGCGGCCTTGGCAGGAAAAATGCCTACGCTCTCGTTGCAGGACTTGAAGCGATCCGGATCACTCGAGGTCCACGCCTCTATCAGCGGCGCCACGCCGGTGGCCCCGGACATCTGCAAATGTTCCGCGACCCAATCCCAAAACGAGGGGACGGCGTCCTGAAAGTGCTCGTTGGCATGCAACAAGGCTCGGGCCGACGTCCGCTCGCTCTCTTGGAACGCTTGAAGTTTCTCCTCGAGATCGTGGCTGGCCTGTTTCTCACGAAGTAACTTTTCCTCCA